CATGTAATACCTTTCTCTGCTAGACTGAAGAGCCCATTATTAAATATTTGTTCCCTACGTAGATACTTATACAGTACAAGCTTTGTTCATCTGACATGTTGGGGGACTGGGGGGTGCCGGTAAGTGAAAAATGCCAGTTAACTAAGAGGGAGTGAGATTGAGGGCATGGGGTTGGGGCATGGGAGGGGGTGCGGAGTGCAGGCTCTGGGAAGGAGTTGGTACAGGGCCAGATAACATAGTTTTTACTGTATTCTGTAGTCAAGTCACCCCTTAACCTTCTCTTTGTTAGACTCAAGGAGCTCAATCTATTAGTTTATCACTATAAAACACATTCTCTACTTATTCCAGTGGCTCTTTTCTGAACCCTCTGACTTATCAACATCCTTCTAAAATTGTGGGCACCAGAACTGGACTCCAGCAGTGGTCGCACCAGTGCCAAATACAGATGTAAAATAACTTCTCTACTCCTACTCGAGATTCCCGTTTATGCATCCCAGGATTGCATTAGCACCTTTTTTGGCCACAGCATCACACTGTGAACTCGTGTTCAGCTGATTATCCACCTTAACTCCCAAATCTTTTTCAGAATCACTGCTTTCTGGGATAGTCCACCATCCTGTAAGTATGGCCTACATTCTTTGTTCCTAGATGTATACATTTACATTTAGCCATGTTAAAATACATATTGTTTGCTTGCACCCAGTTTACCAAGCAATCCAAATTGCTCTGAATCAATCACCTGTCCTCTTCATTATTTACCACAGTCCCCAATTTGTGTCATTTGAATACTTTATTAGTGATGATTTTATGTTTTCTTCCAGAGTATTGATTAAAATGTTAAATCCCTGCAGGACCTCCCTGGAAACACACCCCACACAATGACGATTCCCTGTTTACAGTTACCTTGAGACCTATCAATTAGTCAGTTTTTAATTCATTTAATGTGTGCTATGTTAATTTTATATTCTAGATTTTTATTTAAGATGTCATGCAGTACCAAGTCAAACATCTTATAGAAGTCTAAGAATATTACATCAACAGTACTACCACTCTAAAGTTTTGCAGGCATAGTTATGTCTGTAAGGGGTGTGACTTTTATTTGTCAAAAGAGATATGATAAAAGTATAAGTGACAGCAGTATAAGCACTCTAATACCAATAATCTGCATCTACACTAGAAGGCTTTTACTGATTTAACTACGCTGATATAGTTAAACCAGCAAAACCCTCTGAATGTAGACTAGACTTAAATCAGTAAAGTGTCTTCCTGAGTCTGCAGACAGTATAAAACAATAGATCTAAGAGCTGTAAACTACTCTACTCATCGTAAGTGTTAATACTGAAGAAAAACAAGTGTCCATTTTAACTATTTAATTGCTTGTCATCTTAACAAGATAACCAATTAGTGTTTGTTTATCCTAAGCCCCTTCCAATGTCATCCCAAGTGCCAAGAGCCTACTTAGGCCCCAATCCTGCAAAGATTTACACATGTGCCTATTGTTACTACGATGAGTAGTTCCAATGATTTCAAAGGGATTATTCCCAGTAGTAAAGTTAAACATGTGAACGTCTCTTTTAGGATTGGGCCTCTACTTGCTAAAACTTCCCTCTTTCAACTTTGACAATGCAGTTCTGTGTTGTTGTTACTGCAGCATATTGAAAATTTAGGGGCAGAGTAAAACTGAATTTAAAATAATAATATATATAGGAGCTGTATTGATCTTATTTTAATATTTAATGCAAGTAACACTCTTTTTTTTAAACATTTACCTGAGCTGCTGTCAAATTTCCATATTACTGCATCTGAATACTACAAAAACTAGGGGGCTAGTTAACAAAGAAATGCATGGGACTTTTTTGTAAACAAACATTTTCATAGAATACTGTTTTCACTTCATTTTGTAAATAGCATTTAATCTGTTATGACCAGGAAACTAAATTTTGATTTAACCACTCCACTAAAACTAAACGGTCACATTCTATCCTTGGCTCTAATGGTAAAGGCCAAGCATGGCTGAGACACCCTCTAGAAACTCTACAAAGTTCACCTCACTGATGTTCCCCAGAAGTTCCTTTCAATGAGACAGGAAGTGATGCTCAACATCCAAGGAGGACCTTGGTCTCCATTTGGCAGATGTCAGAACATCTGCTAGACTGACTAGCTCCTCCAAGATTCCCCTATTGTAGCACAACACCCCCAGAAGCTCTGCTGTCTTGGCCATTTCTGCTGTACTAGTGCCAATTCGCCTAGTGGTGGGCAGTGCAGTTCAAAAGCAATTTGCTAATAAAAGCATTTTTACTTGATTTTTCAAACAGATGTTAGCATTTAATATCTGTCTAAAAATGTAAGTGAAATCTCCCACCAGGTTGGGAGGAGAGCATGCTGGGCAGAATGGCTGTTAGATCCCAACATAGCAGAGACCTGAGTACATGGAGTCGCTCTGCTCTTATGAAGGTGGGTGCATGCGCCTTTTCTCTTCTGCCTCTTTACTCTCTTGCTCCCCTTCACAAACCAAAGGACTTAGAATCATTTGTCTCGGTTTTTCACACATCCACAAAGTAGACACTTTTTTTCTTTTTAAAGAAAGGAACGTGAGATTGCAAAACCACAAAGAAAAGCAGGACAACTCAGGAGCCAGTGCAATATTTGAATCCACTTTTATTTATTTATTTATTTATTTTATTTCTTTAGGTTGATTGTGAATTTTTAGAACTTTCAGTAAAAATGGCTCTCAACAAGTCATTTTATTTTATTTACTTATTAATTTGGAGATGGAGCATTACATTGTACTCCAATTCCACACCTGAGGATTGTTAATCTAGATCTTGATCCCAAGAGGTACTGAGATCCAAGGAATGGATGTCAATGGGTGATACAGGTACTTAATACATCCCAAGATCAGGCCCTTCACCTCGAAACCTCAGGAAAATTTGCTTGGGTATTACTAATGGAAATATTTAAAGCATAACTGGGCAAGGTTCACCTCACTGAAGTTCCCCAAAAGTTCCTTTCAATGAGACATGAAGTGATGCTCAACATCCAAGGAGGACCTTGGTCTCCATTTGGCAGATGTCAGAACATCTGCTAGACTGACTAGCTCCTCCAAGATTCCCCTAGTATAGCACAACACCCGCAGAAGCTATGCTGCACTGACAGAGTTAGGAGGATAGGGTCTGTACTCACCGCCGAGGGGACTCACTGCCTCAGGCTGCTGACCCGGGGCAGGCCCATGTCCGAACAGTACCGCTGAGGAGACTCTACGTGGCCATAGTTGCTGAGGCGGAACTCAAGTGGACTCCTCCCACCCCAACCCCAAGCTCTAGACTAAATAACCTACGTGTAAAAGATCTTTTACATAGCTAATTAACATGATTGTATTTACAGAGGATATGAGTAAGCAGTGACTAGAATAACCAGTGGAAATAATGGAATATGCTGCTTGCAACATGACTCCCTCTGTGCTGTCTTTTTGCCCTAGATTGACATGCCAAGTATTGCACACCATGTTCTGGTAGGTAGTGAAGAATTAATCTTTTTATAAATATTTAATGTTCAAGAATTCAATAAGTGGGAGACAGGTTTCTCCCAATTTTAAAAGAAGTTTACTGCCTACATTCTGCATGCAAATATTTGATCTTGTTTCGTTAGAATTAGATTTGTGAATCTACTCCTAAAATTTTCAAGATTAACGTTTTACAGTTTTAGGGACAGTCATGCAATCTGAGACACACAGACTGATTCCAATGGAACTCCACATGGGTATATGGTCCTTCAGTGCAGAGTCCCACTGATCCGCATGAAAAGATTTCAGATTGCAGGATCAGGGCTCATGTCTATCAACTGTTCAAAAGCACTCTAGCACTTTTGAGGAAGCCCTTTACTTGACTGCTAGATGAATATATGTTGTCAGGTAGTTTAGGTCAGAAAATTAGATTTGTGTACACAACAATAGTTTACAAAACCAAACTACTAAAAAAGTTAGTGACTTTAAAAAAAAAAAAAAAAAAAAAAAAAAAAGAAAGGAAATAAATAAAAAAAAAATAAAAAAAAAAAGGAGGGGGGAGTTCAGTGCAAAGTAATTCAATCCAAACAATTTACTGTAAAGATAAGAGAACCAGAAAGTGAAACTGGCTAACTTGTATATTTATCCAAATTGCGTGAGGTGCCATAAATAAATAAATAAATAAAATCTAACTTTCTACTACTTATTGTAAGCTGTTTTGGTTTTAATCACTAAAGTGGTAATACAAGGCTACTTTAATTTTTGTTTTTTAACCAGACAGTTTCCTTTTGATATAGCTGTGGGTACCCAAACCCTTCAAAATAGACACCACACCATGGCAGCTCCCAAAACTATGAATCTGCATACTTCACCCAGCATTAAACATTCATAATGCTTGTTAAACTATCAAAATAAAATCATAACCTGTTTCCACAGTACTCTTCACCTGAAGCTCTTACAGTGCTTTACAAATATTAAGCCTCCTGATCAGGTACCTAGCGCCATTTCCATTTTACCTACTGGTAAACTGAGGCTGAAGAGGATTAAGTGACAAGGTCACACAAGCAAGTTACTGGCTGTCAGGACCAGGCCTGGATACCAGTCCCCTGCGCTAACCAATACCCCCAGCACCCTCTCCTGTCCTGAAGGGCCGCCAGCCATTCTCTCCTCCTGGTCCCCGACCAGCCCCGCTGTCCCCCATGCGCCCACACTGAGCCCCTGTCCCTCACCAGCCCGCACGACTGTCCTGCACAGCCCGGCCTGGGCAGCCCCCGACCTCGGATCGCCTCAGGCGTCGGGGTACGCGATGGGCTGCCCCCGAGCCAGGACCTGCCTCCGGCTGCTGAGAAGGGAGCCCTCACAGCCGAGCCCGCACCGTGGCCCGAGCGGCTCTACGGCCGGAGGAAGAGGCCGTCTCCCATCCGGGCCTCTCACTGGCTTTCTGCCCTCGAGCCCGGCCGCCAGGCCCAGGCAGGCGGGCGGCCGGATCCATACTCACCGCCGAGGAGACTCGCTGCCTCAAGCTGCCGGCCCGGGGCAGGCCCATGTCCGAGCACTACCGCTGAGGAGACTCTACGCGGCCATAACTGCTGAGGCGGAACTCGAGTGGGCTCCTCCCACTCCCCCCTGCGAGGGCCGGCGCTCTCGGGCAGCCTAGCCGGGGCACGTCCCCCTGGGGCGGGGAGACACTCCCGGGCTAAGCTAGGGGCAGGTGAACCAGCCGGGTACCGGCGTCAGGACCCTGGGCTGCGACCCTAGGCCGTGTGGGAAGGAGCGTGCGCTGATCTGGAGAGAGCAGGAGTCAGGAGGCCTGGGCTCTGCGCCAGGCTGTGGGAAGACGTGTGGCGGAGCGAGTGAGGCTGTCAGAGCTAGTCTAGCCCAATGATCCGGGCCTTGTAGCAGGCTATAGGAAGGCGCCTGGTCATAACTGAGCACTAGGACTCAGGATTCCAGACTCAGGGGGTGGTGTATGTTTACACTACACACTAAGTTGTCCATGGCTCAGATTTGAGCACAAAGCCCCTTTCCGTCCGCACACAGTCCAACTTGGCTTAGGAAGCACTAAGGACCCTGCTAGAGGAGTGGATCAGAGCCCGAGTCCAACTGTGACTCAAGTCCGAACATTGTCATTTTTCAGTGTGGACACAGCTCAAGCCACAGACTTGAGTCAGGAGGTCTGTGTAGGGCAATATGGACGTGTTAGCACAGCTGTGAGACCCACGTCTAGCAATTGTAAACCATTTGCAATGCACTGTGGACACACAAGTATTGGCTTATAAACACCAAGTCCACAAGCCCAAGTCACGCAGACCTGGGCATAATATGCAGTGTAGCCATATTGAGGGAGTTCGGTCAGAGTTCGGCACTAGGAGTCAAGATACTTTGACTGTATTGCCAACTTGGACTTCTGAATTACAGTAAAGAGAACATCACTCCTTGTGTGACCTTTTATATATGCAGCAATTTTGTTTCATGCCTACTGCCCTAGCATAGCTGCCTGAGCCCGCTCATGCTTGTGGAAAATCAGTAGACCACCTCAAGACAAGTCAGATACCACGAATTGGATTCTTTGGGCTAGCTTTTCACCCATGAGGATACATTTAGTGCAACTGAGAAGGTGTAGGGGCAAAGGTCTTTTTATGCCTTATGCCACCTTTATACTCCCTCCCTAATTTGGTTAGCAACGCAGGATTGCCAGAGCACTCTGGTCATGCTCTCTTTGTCCTAGGTACTCCTGTCAAACTACAGGTGAAAGGAGGGTTGCCATAGAACCACTATGCCAGTTCTGCACCATTCAGGGGTTCCCCTTCAAAGGGGGAATCCCCAGGTAGCTATTTCACCTGGTTTTCCAGCTGCTTATGTTCCCAAAGCAAAATAGCTAAAAGATAGTGCTCTAAAATGTACCATTTTTTTCTGGGACATCCAGCATTTCAGCTGAATAGAATTGGGCCACCTGTTCCGCAGTGACAAATCAGGCAATTGTGATTGGGGTAGGGGTGGGGTTCTCTCCTTACCTCCACACTCACAACACCCTTTACCATAGGGGAAGACGCACTGATCTTAGAGCCAGGATACCATGAATTCAATTCTCACCGCCACTGACTGCTGTTTATACTTCTGTGCACTTTGTAGCACTTATTACTTTGCAAGGCCTCATGCCTACCAAAGAAGGAAGTTAAGTGTCTGTAGATATATTGGCTTCATTGTGTATATGACTATTAAAACATTGAAATGATTCTCCGCTCTTTCCAAGTGTGGGGGGCTCAGCCTGGCCCCAGTGCAAGTTTACAGCTGCTCCCCTGCAGCTCTACTTACGCACTGGCAGAAAGTTCCCCAGGGACCTTATATCTGTGGAGGAAAGGCATAAGATAAATCAACTGTCCCAAGTTCCCATCCCGCCTCCCATGCCTGGGTGGGCATGCAGCTGTCACAGGAGGTAGTAGAGGCCTGAGATGCCTCTGCCAGCTTTCTGCTCATAGAGAGTTCCCCTACACAGAAGCAATTCTTCACTGGTCATCTGTGGAAAATTCAGTTGTATCCCACTGAAAACCTATGAAAGAGAAGGTTACTCACCCTGTGTCGGTGTGTCCTGGCGCCATCCATTGGAGATCTTCGGTAGCAGTGCCCGGTCGGGATGCACATGCGCAGTTGGTGTCTCGCGGCGTCATTCGAGTCTGCTTGGCGTGCATGCGTTCTGACCCCCCACAGTTCCATCTCCACCATAGAGTCCTTTAAGTCAAACTCCAAAGTAGCGGGGAGGAGGGTGCAGGGCCTCCCAGAGGGGGGGGCAAGGAGGGCAATTTGCTCCAGGCCCCACAGGAGCCCCCACGAGAATATAGTATTCTATGGTACTGCAACTTTTTTTTAATGGAAGGGGCCCCCAAAATTGCTTTGCCCCAGGTCCCCTGAATCCTCTGGGCGGCCCTGGAAGGGTGGCTAGTGGAGCATCCACAGGGACACATATCTCGAAGAACCTCAGTTACTGCACAGGCTGAGTAAACTTCTCTTCTTCAAGTGGTGTCCCTGTGGGTGCGCCACTTCAGGTGAATGTAGAGTAGTACCTGCTATGGTTGGGGAGACTTTGGAGTTGTGGGTTTGGCAGTGGCAGACAGTACTGTATGACCTACTATAGTGTCCACTCTGGCGCCTTGTATGATGGAGTACTGTTTGCCAAACGTATGGTCTGATGACCATGTAGCCGCTTTGCATGTGTCAATAACGGGTACGTTTTGTAGGAACACTACCGATGTTGACATAGCTCGAGTGGAATGAGTTCTGACCCTTAAAGCAGTCGGTACTGCTGGCAAGGACCTCACTGGGAACCGTTTCTTTTTGCCCGGTTCCCTGTGCGGGGAGGTTGAGGATCTCTTCCTCTTCTCATGAGAGGGTGGAGCCCTGCTCTTGGTCAGTTCTGGCCTGGTCGGAGAGCACCTAGGAGAGGGTTTTGTTCTACCCGTCTCCAAATCAGGTTGGAGGGATTTCTCCATAAGAATCATCTTTAAACGCAGGTCTCGGTCGCGGTGAGCTCTGGCTTTTAGATTATTGCAGTGGACACACTTAGTTGGGATGTGCATCTCACCGAGGCATTTGACACACTGGGAATGTCTGAGCGTGGTGTGGGGTCCTTGCAAGAGTCGCGTTTTTTAAAACCAGGAGACCCCAGCATCTTTAATGTGACCCACTCAAGAAGGTTTAAGAACGAGACCTTAGTGGGGTTTACTCCCAAAGAGGGAAAATGGGTTAAGAAAAAACTAGTTTTTTGTTTTTGTTTTTAAACGAACTATATGCAACTATTTAAAGGTTTATAGGGGAGTTTTTATCTAACTAAAACTAATTTTCTCTCAAAGTAGGGGAAGAGGTTCAGCACTGCCCCGAGTTCAGTCTTCAGCTGAGGACGGTTGAGAAGGAACTGAGGGGGTCGGAATGCGCGTGCGCCAAACAGACTCCTATGACTCCGCGAGATACCAACTGTGCATGCGCATCCCGACCAGGCACTGCTACTGAAGATCTCCGATCAATGGCGCAGGGATGCACCGACACCTGAAGTGGAACACCACAGGGACACCACTCGAAGAAGAACTCTCCTTTCCAATAATAGAAAACTTTCATTTCTATGCCTGATGGGTCCTAAGTACTGAACCTTACATTTGTCACTGGTACAAGACTGAATATTGCCTGCCTTGGACCAGTGTGATTGGTGGGGATGAGTTAGGGGGGAACTTCCACATTTGGGGAGAAAGAAGGAAATACTGCTTTGACTGGTTATTTAAAGAAAAAAGCCAGTTTGACCATAGGCGCTGACTTCCCCTCTTTCCCGTGGGTGCTTGATCCCCTCTGCCCCCAGCCCCACCCCCACTCCACCCCTTCCATGAGGCCCCGCCTCTTCCCACTCCTGCCCCACTCCCATTCCATTTTGGGTATTGGAGCAGCTGTGCTTCCAAAATAATATTAATTTTGAAACATTAAATACCATAATGAAACTGCTGGCTCATTACCTCTGGCTCCATAATCCCTCCTGTACAGAAAAGGCAAGTAACAATTTCAGGTCAGAAGGAATCGGGAGAGAGCCAAAGGCTGCACAGGAGGAAAGCAGTGGGCTGGAGGTAACAGCTTGGGAGCTAGGGCTAAATTTTGAGAGCCAGGCAGAGAAGCAAGCCAAGCAGATACCTGGGAGTGGCTTGCAATAGGATCATGTGGCTAGACCTGAACAAGGCCATGGGTTATGAACAAAAGCGGGAGAAGGGTAGGCCGAGGGAGAAGGGTAGGCTGGAGGAAGTACCCCTAGCACTACGCCCACGTAGTCCTAACTTCATACCTCTATCCTGGACTGCATTTAGGGCCTGATCTGGAAACTGTTGTTTTAATCTTTTTGTTGTAATCATTAAAGTAATTGTGCTGAACGTATTTGCACCTTTTTGAGTCTAGCAGCCCTAGTGAAATTGTGTGTTACTCAAAATGTGCAGTTCTTTAAAGGAACCTACTAAGGGCTAGAGCCTGGAGAGCCTAATGCTTAGAGTGCCTATAGTGTTTACCTTCAGCCTCTTGGTATACACAGCATGCTACCAAACATCAAAGGGAACTGGTGTTCCCTAATATTTGCAGTGAGTGACACCCTGTGCAGTGAGGTCAGTTGCTGTAGTATTCTTGCTGCTTCCATCTATCGCCTTCCTTTACACTTGCTTCTTGAGCCTGCTTCACTGCTAATTGAGGGCTAGTATGCATTATGGGTGACGGTCACCAATGTCAGAGGAATAGCATAAGGCTGCACACCACATAAATCCCACTTAAGCCCTGTTTTGATAGTTTAAGTAGGGCATAGGCTTTGTGTACCCCAGTTGAATGCAGAGGCTATGATTTCAGGTTGCCCTAATGTGTGTTGTGCCAAGGGTGTTGGTGGAGGGGATTCTTTACTCTCTCTCTCTGTCTTTCCTTACTGCAAGGTGGAGAAAGGGCAGGGCATAATCTATCCCCAAATAGAGATAACAGAACAGGATTAGAAGCAGGACTTTTTCAAACTGAGGTCATCCATTACA